CTTGATTTCAAGTCAAAGAAGGTGCTAGAATCCTCTGGGCACCAATTTGCGGATAGATCTCAGCAAGGCAACGAGTATATGTGACAAGTCAAAATCAGAATCCTTTCTATTTTCCTGGTAACTCTTCCAACAGTTGGAAGCTTCCGTACCAAATTGACGGTAACGCAAGCTATAGGTAAGAAAAGGGAGAGGGAGATGCGTGCTAGAATTAAACGTGACGTAGACGGAAATAGAGAGAGTAGAAGAAAACCGGTGCACATATGATTGAAGCGAAGCTTCCACAGGAGGTGTGGGCAGTACTTAGTGGTAGGGTTAGAATTGAGAAAATTGGAGTTTGGATAAGCTATTGGTAAACCAGCAACCGCCTCGGACCCCATTACGCTGACCTAATACTAGGGAACGTTCTTGAGAATTAATTGAGAGCATCGCGTTCAAGTTCTATTGAAAACGGCGTTTCACTAAGCGAGTGATGGGACATGATTTGGATGTCGAGAACACAACGGGTTCCCCTAAGAAACTTTCTTGTTCTCATGAGAAGAACTAGCTCGTCGCATTGGATTTGCTTATCTAGCGTTAGGGGGCTCTGAAAGCTAGTGCGGTGCGCACTTGAGGGGTAGCCGGCGTGAGTCAAGACTCGAGAGCTTTCCTTTTGTTTTTCTGGCTTCGCCGACCGCTATTTCGCGTGAGATTCGGGGTATCGACAGAAACCGTAAATAGAAGCCAACTTCGATGTCGCCGGTATCGGGGTTTAGTCGTGTTGCTGTCAAATTTGTAATGTTAGCAGCCCAGGCACTGTCCTGGGGGTTCGGAGTCTGGAGGACCAAAGAGAAACGGATGGAACATACCATTTCCCAGTGTCAAAGGGTCCCGCATTGCTTCGCCTCTGCTATACATGATGCCTCGCGTCCGTTTCTTTTCGTGGCCACTGCATTGCGGAGACAAGGGGGTAGAGTTACTAAAGGCGCTCGGTCGGTCAACTATCATTCTCCGCTTCACAGCTGCCCTCACCGGTTTTTGGTAAGTAGAGTGGTATGCGAAGGTCGCTCTACACTCTGGATCTAGTCAGTCGAACTCGAGTTACCTTTTCAGGTACGTGTTCATCGTGGTTTAGATTTTCTCCAGGCGGCCACCAAGGACAAGTTTGGGGGTGAGCACGAGAAGGAACTTACCTGTCTTCATCGGTTCACGGTAGGTTTTCGGTTTCGGCTTTTGGTATCTTTCTTCGTGAAGAAATTTAGGTATTCGCGGTCATTTGGTGTTCCGAAGTAGGGGGTTCGTGAAGCTAGTAACTAGGCAGGCTGAGACTGCGGGCGGGGGTGAGAAACAAAGGGATGAAGGGAGGGAAAAAGGAAGAGAGTATACAAGAAATGGACGAAAAGTCATGAAAAGTGAGTTCATGCGATCGATCTCCGCCTTCTGTAGAATGACATTAGTGCAAGCCATGGCCCCCAGATCATTACCGTCGAGTCTTGAAATTCTGGACGAAAGGTCGCTGCACCGTGATGTTAACTTGAAGAGAATGTCAGTACAGAAGAGTCCACCCTTTGTTATCGACACCAGTGCCAAAATCTAAGACCATTTAGCAAGTCAATCGAACTTCCATTCTACCGCCTCGTAAATCAGTCAGTCTTTCTCTCCCCAAGAAAACCTAACTTCACAAAGAAAACGACTCTCCGCTTGCCCCGACGATCGTAACATCACCAACCTTCCTCTCTCCTCCAGCACAATGAGCCACCATCAACGCGTCCGCACAGCGCCACACTTTCAAGTAACTTCCTCTCCATTCTCTCCCTCCCCCCGCTCTCGCTCTCCCTCTCCATTCCCCTTCCTCCCATCCACCGCCAATTCTCCTCCTCCGCCAGCCCGGCGCGTCCTCCCCGACTGCCCCGTAACCCAACTCACCTAGTTACAGGTCATTTTTCTTCTCATTGGATAGGGATCCGGGGCACTTTTGTCCTGAAACAGGTTTTCTCGGCACCGGGCTTCTTACCGGCATGTCGTGTGTCTTTCGAGTCTTCTTGGCCCAGATATGTGATATACGGTTTTTCTAGAGCAGGTCACCGGCGTCACAGGCTCTCCGCGGATGTATAAAAAGGCCGTTAGAAGACTGGGAAGGTAGGTGAGTCTCGACACAATCATTTGTGATTGGGCGAACGAGGAGGTAGGGAGTGAATGGGAGAGGGCAATTGTAGGACAATAGGGGTGACCTTTCAATGATAGGGTGGTGGTCACTGAGGTTGGTACAAGAAGCAAGGCTTTTCTCCATTAGCAAAACACCACCACCATGGTCATTCCATTTTTTCAAAGCAATCAATTATTGATACAAAGTAGAAGCGTGGGTAAAAAAGCTTAATCTGAAAAGTACTACTAAAGAATGAATAAGAGGTTAGCATGGGAAAAATGTAAAAGACAGTGAAATCTCTTGAAAAAAACTCAACTAGAGATTCACCAATGAGAAATTGCATCTCTAGGCAGCCTATAACTCAACAAGTAATATCAGCATACCAAATCATCAAGGTCACACCTAATCCAACCATAAACTGCACTCCTATCAATGGGTCACTAGCAGTTGAGTGGCAACACCAATAAAGGACTATGGCATCAGATCATCTCGATTGTCTAGTCATAACTGCAGCTCATAAACTGCATATCCATCAGATTGTAGCCCTATCATCTCTGAAACTACTGAAACCACTGGCTAGTTAAAAGTGAAATCAAGATGAGGAGAGATGAAAAGAGGGACAACATGGCACATTATGCTTGCCAAGGAGTAGCTTGTTTTGACCTCCTGCTGGGTGGAATAGATTCACATGAGTGGATGATACTTTTAGAATTGAATACATTCACAGCGATACCTAACTGTTTCCAAATCTCCAGTATAGTGAAAAGATTTATCAAGTATGATATAGAGAAAAGTAAACTCTGATATTTTCTGGTGGTGGAAAAAATAAAAAAATGGGCTGTAACTCGAAGCATCGATCACAAGACATTGGGTTGATTTCAACACAGCTCTAATGCTACCACCAACCACCCTCTTTCTTTTATCCGAGTCTTGACTTAACCCATCCCACGCGAGACCTTTGGATGGCTATCTTGTTAGCGAGCATAACCCTGGTCAAAGTGTGATTGCTCATATTCTCTGAGAGCATCATCGAGGGGAGTTGTTAGTCCCGTGCACAGCAGCGCCCGGTTTTCAATCGCCATTTCATTTTTTGCTGCCACAACTGGTGCATAGACCATCGTGAACTAGGAGCGGGGAAACCTCTACCCTTCCCCGAAGTAAGGCGAACCGCCGCCGGCTTCGCTCAGCCCGCCATTAGCCTAGCTAATTGCTCTTCCCGATCGAAAAGTTATGCGGGAGATCTTCCCGTGCGGGAAGCGGTCCTCCAAGCGGGAGCCCCCCACACTATTCCAAATCACATAAACGCATACCTCGCGTTTGTGTGACCTGTGGGTTATTATCCAGGTATTGCGGGGCAGCGGTAACTGCCTGGATCCCACTTTTAGGTAACTGTGTCCGAGGTACTGGTGCCCATGTTAAACGACTTTCTATGATGTTGAGAGATTTTCCTGCTGGGTAGCCTAGGTTGTGGGGCCGATCGATAGTCAAGGTTTCAAATGGATCCCTCGATCGAGGTCTCGGGAAAAATACTGAATCGAATTCCTTCGGCCCAATTCTTTCTTTCGCGAAGGAATTTACTCAGAACTTAATCAAACCACCTTCTCCATGATGAAAGCATTCCGTATCCACATCGCCACTCACATTGCCGAGATGGTCAAACCTGAAACTAGCCTTCAGTATACTTGTCCCAGGAAATAAGTACTCCTGTACACAGAAACAGGGGTCGTGAATTCGTATGGGCGCTCGGATACGCAAGGATTTGTTACCACATATTTGCGGATCCCTGTTCCCGGGTACTTATTGCTTGGGACAAGTACCTGTGATCATGAGCGATAACTCGGGCGGATGTAGGAGGGTAGCATCCGGCAAACAAGGAGTACCGTATCCGTAGTTCCCCATGTTCCAGCATCGTACTCCAGCACAACACCTCCAAAAAAGGGTGGTTCATGTTTTGCTTTTTTCGAACCCCCACTTCGCCTTCATCAAATTTAGTCAACCCACCAACGCCGCATTTCCTTTCTTAGAACCATTCGGGAACTTGGCGTTCGACTAGGAACAGAGAGAGTACTGTGCGAGTAGTATTGGTGCTGCTGCAGGCAACGCCAACTAAGCAAGAGGGAAAAGTTTCAGCCTCAATTAGCTCGGACCGAACCCACGAACCATTCAGTTGATTTGGCTCGGGGAAAAAATAGGCCGCTGTTCGAATGGCCTGGGGGCTATGTGTGTGTAAGAATCGGTTCGCAAATTGCCTTCTACCGCATATGGGGAGACACATCATGCCATCTTCTTGATTCCTGGGAAGAAGCCTCTTTCGCTCCCGATCGCGGAGGTAAGGTAAAGTGAGTTGGCTACGCCTGTACCTCCGCAAGTGGAGTGTGTTCAAGTAGAGTGAAACCAAGGGGAAAGAGAAAAAAACGAGCCTATTATCCGTGCGTAAGTGGTTGGTGCGTAAGGACACCTAGTGAACAGAGTTTGTGTGATAGGGGTCTTGCGGAAAATACATGTAACTTAAAGGTTATACTCGGCGCTCTCAGAGAAAAACGTTTGCTGAGCTCTGGAACCAGCCCAATCCACTTGGCGGGCAACGATGGACCTGGAAACAGTTCAAGGATACCATACCTCACACAACGGCAGTCAAAATTCTTTGAGATTAACCTAACATGGCGAGCCCCAACAGTTCGCGCTAAAGGATCACTTTGAGTGTTTCTCCCGGATGCTCATAGAAACTAAAGCTTTAAAATAAGTGGAGGCGGTGGAACTCTTTCGGTAAATCAATAATCCGAGAGGTATGCTATGGCAGAACCAACAGTTTAACATCCTACCGTTTCATTAGTTAGCAAAGTGTATCAAACCAGATTCACGCCCGCCAGATTTCTACCTAAATCAAACTATACCTCAACCCCTTGAAGGTTGAAGAACACATGGCCAGTATAAGTTCACTATTTGTAATCCTGGTCTTGCTGGGCCTGGTGGTGGTAATGTTAACGCTTTTAGATATATCGTTGGCACCAAGATAACACTGTTTCCTACTATCGTAGTGCAAAGGGCCTCTAGCTGATATCGTGATATCCGTAGGAGGGAATGCATACCAACAAACCCATCCACTAGCCTCAATCCTGCGATCCATCTGCCCTACCCAAACTCTCCCAGAACTAACGAGATCAATCAATTGACAAATAATTAATGGGTGGCCGTGGCTGTAGAGTGAGCGGTAGACACGTTTCGAACTGGTAATAACTCGTGGAAGATGAAAAGCATTTCCAGGAACCTGGGTACTGGAAGTGGCTATGATATTAGAGCAGCCGGGCAGGAGTTATAACAAGCGTTCAAACCTTTACTCAGCGAGCTTATCGGTGACGACCGCTTTCCAATCTACACACTCCACAATCCCCGCTCGGACCCCAGGTTCACTCTTAGATGGCCAATGGGTTATGAGCCCTCTGGGCAGATCCAAAACCACGCTACAGCCAAACCATACCCCAGAAGACGACAGGAAGCGCCAACTACATGTCCCACATACCGCGAGACGAGACAAGATTGCTCCAGCGAGCCAGAGGAAAATGGCATCATCCACCCCAGTGAACCCACCGAGCGGATCCAAAGCTCGGGAGGTCTGCCCAAGTCAGGAAACCCGAGCTGGTTTAAGTTTGCCCCCGAGCTACCCCCAGTGACCAATGATAAAAATTCCCAGGACTATTCCAGTATCCGAAGTCTGATCCAGAAACAACCGAGCAGCACCAACGGCGTTTTTATAGGGAAAATCCTTCGGGTATATGGTACTCATCAGGAGTCGCCTAGTTGGTGCGCCGCGGCGCACCACGTTCGTCGTCAGAGGCAAGTTGATGGACTATGAAGGATCTGAGGAACACCCGGTGGTGTTGCCTGTGTTTTGATAGAATTCTCCCAGTGAGATTCTTGTACCGCACACTCGCAGCAGCATGTGGAAGGCTGTAATGGCCTTTTATTGGTTGTGATAACCATACTGGGTGTGGCACCGGTGGTGCTCGCGGGGAAAAGTCTGACTTCCCAAGAGCTCATAGTGTATGATAGAAACACTGTTAGATGATAGCACCGTAACTTGCGGCACGATACTGATAATATTATTAGAAAAGCTTCCTCGCACGGTAAGGTGACATGAGACCAACAGGATCGCGGATCGCGGGTTGGTGGGGGGTGAAGGAGGGGGATGTTGGCTATGATACTACCCGCTTGGCAAGATCAGCCCTACGAGAATCAAGATCCCTCAGGTAAAATTTATCGTTCCTAATTATACGCAAGGTCGGGAATTCGTCTAAGAAATTCTGCCTGCTACTCTAATACTGCTGTGCTCACTAGAATACTGGAATTTGTGTCGTATGATATGCGGTGCGCAATAGGGTAGAGAGCCCACTCATTAGGATTGAATCTTGGAAACTCTTGGGATCTATGATATGGCACCGGTATTGGTAATCCTCAGAATTTGGTCGATATACTAGTCCAATACCAGTATAATTTGAGAATCATCTTAGTGCGAAAACTCTCCAACTTCCCCATTTTTACGAGTAACAGATTTGTTGATTTCTTTCTCATTTTCATGACCTGGTGTTCACTTGGGAACTTATATGAAGAGTTTCAATTTTCACCCGCCCATTCACAGGCACGGTCTTCAATCCTTAAATTCACATGCTGCGCATGGAGGATCCGCTAATAACGCTCTCTCAAACCCTCCTAGGTTTTGATTGCCTCAAAGACTGGGGAGAGATGATAGTCGCTATCCCTACTCTCTCTTCCTTGCACGCCCACCAGAGTTTCCGATTCCGAATTTGTTTCTCCTTTATCCCCCCTTTTTTGAGAGGGAGGGAGGGAGAGATTTTAGTTCCCCAATCAATCAGGAAACATCCTAATGCCGAATTTCCCCATCCAATAACGCCTCTATGCAAGTTTGTGAAAGTGCGGAGATATGATAGCATCTCAAGCAAAGGACAGTTTTTCCCTCCGCTTAGATGCATGTTTGATGTGATTGGCCCTCATTCTGATAGTAACAGAAATTTGAACTCCCCGCATCCTTTTTTTATTCTCAATGTTTGTTCTACTGATGATTGTGCTATCAAGACTGTATGTCTGGGTATCATGCAGGTATCCCCTAAGTTGTTGTCAAGCAGTTTTTTCCTGGTGATACAATACTGATACGCCCACAGATTGTTTGGAAATTTTTAATGATAGATTCCCCCAATCGCAAGACTACTTACGTTAGTGGCACGGAGGGGGGGGTTAACCTTCGCTGGTTTGCTCTCCACTCCCTTTCATATATTCCACGCTGACAATAAGTGGTTGGAGACATGAACTAAATTATTTCGACACCTTTTTTCGGATTGGCCAAGTTGTTTACATCCCATCACAGATTATCACGATCTAGCATAGACCTTCCACATTGTGCCTTCCGGCCCTGGAATTAGTATGGGAATCATGAAGAGATTGTAGGCCTTTGGCTCATGCATCCACACTTCAAAATGCTAAGCAAACCTTGCGATTCAGGGCCAGCGGCGCGAAAGATCCCAACTCTATCCATGCCACGCGTTTCCCCATTGGCGTTCGGAAAGCATCCTCACATCCGGGAAGTATAATACCCTTCATTCGAAACTCTTTACACCCCATTCCAATTCTCAATTCCCAGCCCCCATGATCCTTAGGATATGCTATAATCCCTCAGAACTAGCAAAACAGTTGGCAACGTTTGGCACATCATACCCCGCTGCAGGCATATTCGTTAGCGCTATGCAAGCGGTACTTCATTCCGGTATGAATGGGGTTTGTAAACTGTGAGTTTCGAAGGATTGCTATATCAACCGCGCATCCTTTGCCTAGTGCTGACGGTGATTCTCTCTCCGATCTCTAAAGCTCCGGGTGGCGGTAGTTATTCATCTCCAACAGCATCATGACAGTCGTCACTGCTTTGGCTGGATCCTTCCTCCCACTGTATGGCCCCTCAAACTCACAGGCAGACCGCAGAGAATAGGATGGAAAGAATTGAAAGAATTGTGCCCACGGGATTAACACTAGAGAAGATAGGGAACATTTAAAACTTGACCCCTGTGGATATCCACACTTGCTTACCCGTAAGCACTGTTTGGGCACCTTGGTCCCGAGTCGTTAGCCCCCGTCCTGGGATGGTTTTCGATCGAACTCAGCACTCCAAGGGCAGGACACGGTTTTAGTCTCGAGATTCTAATGGTTGGTATCCCCTCTTCCCGAGTTTAGGCAAGCAACTACTGAATCTGTTTTTTTTTTGAGAATCCTGTTTGCATTATCTCCTCGCGCATGACTTCTAACCCGACCACACTGATCCCATTGGGTCATATGTCCTCCAAATGGTGGCTATGTTCTTTTTCGCCCACATTCCAGACAAGACCGTAGGGCCTTGTCGGTTGGTGACTATCCAGTTTATGGCAGCTATAGTGGGCTGCATCATTCTGTCTACCTAGCTGTCCAGCTCCTCTCGAAAAAAAATGACCGGTTTCCACCTTCTCCTTCTGGGCAATCTCGCAGGTTCGATCCTCGCTGTACGTTGCAAACCCGGCTATCCTAAGTACTCGTATGGTTTCCACGCTTGCTAGTACTGATATCCTAGGCCCAGTTGGCAGGAATCTGTACTAGTGATGCAGAACAGAGAGCCACAACCATCAGTATAGCTGTGGCCTTTGTTTATGCTACTCATCCATTTGCGAATAGTATCTCCCAAGATATTCCTCACATATCATCCTATGGGCTCACCCACTAAACTCCAAATAAATCTCCCATCTACCCCGCTCCAGAAGCACCTAATTATCTAGTCGGTTACAGGGCCGCTGCAGTGTTCGGTTCTGTATGCATCTACACAGCTCTGGTCATAAGGAGGATGTGGAGACGAGATATGCAGGTTCTCCGCAAGGCCTCCCAGTCTCTTGATCAATTTCCATGCTCCACGGGTTAGCACAATCTCTACTTCCCTGACCTCTTCCCTTAGGAACAAAAGCAAACAAGATAGTGAAGCCACTCAATTTCGGCAAGACAACATATTGAAATAGTCCGACATTGTTTCCCCAGGTTTTTAGGTAGCCCCTAATGAAATGATTGCGCCGGTGAGGAACACTTCCTAGGCTGCGTTAAGTCGGGTGAATTTCAAATGTATATATCTTGAAATTCACGGTAGGTCCCTGTGAGGTTCAGTTTCGTCAAGGTTAGACGCGCGCACAACACTCGCAACGATCGATCTTTGTTTCTAGGTGTGCACGCAAAACTCAGGTTCTAGTTGGAAATAGCTCCAACCCCTTTAGTATTCCCTGGCGTAGCGACGCATCATTAACACCAGGGTACAAGTGCGACGTGTCATGGGAGAGAAAAAACTTGATGTCTTTCATTATCTTGACGCGATTCGCACACTGCATTGCTAAGTTACCATCTCGATATACAAACACATGCCACTTTACGCCCCTTGCTCTAGAATAACCTTTTCGCCTATAAAAAAAATTAAGGGCAGTGACATGTTGATCTATTTGTTAACTGATTTAGGTCTACCTAACCATAATCACACACCCAAGATCAGTACGTACAAGTACTCGTACGAAACAGCTTACTGTGACACTAATACCGGTAAACCATCCTCAAGTTTCCTCTCTTGGAACTAATTACCCTGTTAATTAGCTTTTTTTTTTTCTTTCTTTTTTTTCTTCCACCTCTTTGATAAGATAATTTATATGACCTGTATCACCTTGAAGTTGTACGAAGGGGGTGGGAAAAAGTACTCGAGTATGGCGAAGTCTTGGCCGCCAAGCACAGTGATATTCTGTTAGCCACATTCGCCATACTTTCCCCGACCCCCTTCGTACATAAGGCTGCGAGATACTGTAACTCGAGTACTGTGCGAGTACTGTACCGTGGTCTACACATGTGCAGCCGTACCGTACGCATTGCATACTTCCTCCTATGATACGTCACTCGACTGGTCAGAGCTCGTTCATTCTGAACCACACCGACAGCCCTCTCTCTCTTGAGTCATCATGCTTTTCACCTCACCTCCCTCAGCCCACAGGGTCCATCGATCCAGGCACAGGCAGTATGATACATTTAGGAGGAAACTTAAAACATTTGTTACAGTATCATATCATACCTTTTTTAAAAATTGCTCTGCTCAAACCATCATAGCACGCTGCGACGCGAAGCTCGCAAAGACTCGCCACCTACTCCCCCCCATGGATAAACCACAACTGTATCACATGTTGTAATAGTAACTTAGCAGTACCCTACAAGTTGTTCGTAGGAGGTTAAAAAAAGGAAGAAAAAAGAAAATTGAAGGAATGTGAAGGAAGGGAGGGAGGAAGGGAGGGAAGAAGAGAATGTGGGGGAGGAGGGGGGGTGTGTGAAGGAAAGGAAAGGAAAAGAAAAAAACAAATCTTTTTCATACTTTGCTGGCAAACCAACCGCATACCCTTTTCGACCGGCGCGAGTGAGGTCTCATGTGCCCGAACGAGCTAACTTAACTTACTGCCTAAACATACACGCACCGCACACCCTCTCACTCTCACTCTCTTCCTAGTCTATCAGTATGATACTCGTATTATCAACTACGGTAACCGAAGGGGAAAAAAACCGGTCAAAAGAACAACGAGGAAAGGATACTGTACTGTATCAAATCCCCAAACTAACCGACCAACCAATCAATCATTTATTTAAAATATCTTACTCTCTCTTTTTTTTTTCCTTTTTTTTTCCTTTCGCTTTCGTTTTCGAGTTTTGGAGGGAAGAATACTTGTACTTGTAGAAAAAAATGTGACACATCTCATAGTTGGGTACGGTAACTTGGCAAACCACGCCATCTGAGAATTAGAATTGTACATTTTCTGGCGGCATAGTTTTTTTTTTTTTTTTTTTCTTTCTTCCTCTTCTTCTCTTTCTTTCTTTTTCCCTCCCCCCTTTTTTTTCCCTCTCTCTTTCTCGCTCCTTTGGAAGGGAGGAAGGGATCCGGGGAATGAGGGGTAAATCACCGCCGCCCGGTTGGCGGAATGGGTAGTAATCACTTTAGTCTCCTAGTATCATAACTGGAAAATTGTGGAAAAGTAAAAAAAATTAAAAATCGATTCGATGATATGT